CCGGAATTACGGGCATGCGCTACCACGCCCGGCTGATTTTTTGATTTTATTGTAGAGATGAGGTCTCGCTGCCCAGGCGGGTCTCGAACCCACAGGCTCAGGCAATCCACTCACCTCAGTCTCCCAAAGGCGCGGGATTACAGGCTGAGCCACCGAGCCCAGCTATTTATTTATTGTAGAGATGAGGTCTCACTAAGTTGCCCAGGCTTGTCTCAAACCTGTGGGCTCAGGCAATCCTCTCACCTCAGCCTCCCAAAGTGCGGGATTATAGGCATGAGCCACCGTGCCCGGTCAAATTCTGACTTCTAATAGTAGAGAAAGATTGAATAATAATGGCACTGCCATATGACAGAACATTATACAGCTATGAAAAAAATCTTGCTTTTTTGAAAAATATTTAGTGACACAGGAAAGGGCAAATGAAATAGAGTGGAAGATAGTAGAGATACAATTCTGTATCATAATATGATGGCAACCTTATAAAAACATACAATGTATGAGCAGACAAAAAAGATAAGAAGAAAAGATGTCACTATTATAGTGATAATTATCTCCAGTGATAGGATTTGGTCACTTTTTTCTTTTTTAGACTTTCCTACATCTCCCAAATTTTCAATGAAAAAGTATCACTTTTCTTTCTGGTATTATTTGTTTTGAGTCGGTCTTACTCTGTTGCCCAGGCTGGAGTGCGGTAGCATGTTTACAGTCACCTGCTGGGCTCAGGCAATCCTTCCGCCTCAGCCTTCCAAGTAGCTGAAACTACAGATGCGCGCTACCACACTCAGTTTATTTTTTGATTTATTGTAGAAATGTTCTCACCAAGTTGCCTAGGCTGGTCTGGAACTCCTAAGCTCAGGCAACCCTCTCTCCTCGGTCTCCCAAAGTGCTGGAATTACAGGCTTGAGCCACCACGCCTGGCCTTTCTCTTATTTAAATATAAATAAATGCTAATATTTAATGATGTATTTTATTTCTAAATACTTGCCTTGATTATCATCCTATCTGCTGTGGAGAGTTAACATCAGTAGGGAAACAAATTTCTGTTAATACCTACTGGTTAGCGATCACAGATTTTCACACATATTTTTCAGTTCATGCATTAAAGCTACACTTGATTAATAAATCTGGGAATGACTATTTTCTGCAAATCAGCAGAATGACTATGCTTAAGATAGACATGGAATTCTATCCTATTCCCATCAACCTAGCCACTCTGTGAATTTGAAATATGATGTTTTGTAGGACAAAAAGTGTATCAGATAAGAAGTGATGGAAAGTCAGAGCTGTAAGGATTAAAAACAATTTTAAATTTTACAAATCATTAAGTAGAATTGCCTGAGCCCGCAGGTTCGAGACCCACCTGAGCAACTTGGCGAGACCTCATCTCTACAATAAATCAAAAAATCAGCCGGGCGTGGTAGCGCATGCCTGTAATTCTGGCTATTCGGAAGACTGAGGTGGAAGGATCGCCGGAGCCCAGCAGGTGGAGGCTGTGGTGACTGGGAGCGGCCACTGCACTCCAGCCTGAGTGACAGAGTGAGACTTGCGCCACCATGCCTGACCTGACAGATCTTTAAATACCTGTTTCCTTCCTCTCTTCATTTTGCCCAGGCTAAAGTGCAGTGGCACCATCATAGCTCACTGCAGCTTTGCCCTCCTGGGCTCAGGCAATCCTTCTGCCTCAAGGCTCCGAGAAACTGGACTACAGGCACATGCCACCATACCTGGCTACTCTTTTGTGTGTATGTGTGGTGGGGGGGAAGAGACGAGGTCTCTCTGTTGCCTAGGCTGGTCCCAAACTTCCAGGCTCAAGCAATCATCCTGCCTTGGCCTCCCAAAGTACTGGGATTACAGGTGTGACCCACCACACCTGGCTGATATTTTATTTGTCACTTCATTCTGCTCAGGAGTTCCCTTTCATCTTGGAGTTCTCTCCAAGGTACATCATTCAGGCCACTGTCTGTGGTCTTCACACTGTTAACCCTTTATGGGACCAAATCTTTGGGTTACCAGACGTAGGTATTAAAGCTTTGATTATATTTCTTTCCACAGTCACCCAAATAGACTAATCATTACATGCCTGTCTTTTTTTGTTCTGTCTACTACTGGTAACGTGATAAATATCTATGCTAGTGCATTTATGCCTGCTTCATAGGCAAGGCATTTCTAAATCACTCTGTGTAGGGCACAGAGCCTCAGGTAATCTATTATTTGAATTACAAAATTAATTGAAAGGCATTTCTTGAAAAACCTTGTGTAGTGTCAGATTCTCAAAAACTTCAAAAAGGGAAGGTACTGTATTCAAGAAGCCAAAGAATGACCCAGACACAACAGACAAGACATGGGCTTTATTTAGGAACCTACAGAGAAGGTGGTCCAGGAGCGACTGGTGGTCAGAAAAAAAAAAAACCTCTCCTGATATTATTTTATTTTATTTTTTTTGAGTTGGAGTCTCACTCTGTCGCCCAGACTGGAGTGCAGTGGCCGCTCCCGGCCACCGCAGCCTCGACCTGCTGGGCTCCGGCGATCCTTCCGCCTCAGCCTTCCAAGTAACTGGAACTACAGGCACGTGCTACCACACCCGGCTAGTTTTTGATTTATTGTAGAGATGAGGTCTTGCCAAGTTGCCCAGGCGGGTCTCGAACCCGCAGGCTCAGGCAATCCACTCACCTCAGCTTCCCAAAGGCGCGGGATTACAGGCTGAGCCACCGAGCCCGGCTACCTCTCCTGATTTTAAAAGGCACATAGGCTATATAGCATTTTACATAGAGCAGAGTACAGGGTTAAGTGTGAAAAGGATAGGGTTTCTAGTGCACTGGTGCAGTGTGAGAACATGCTTATACACACGTCGCATGTACACAAAGTGGCTGCAATTTCTCTGTAGGGGTGGGATTTTTTTGCACTATAATGAACTAAAGGCACTCAAAAGTGATGAACATTGATCCAGGCATGCCTGATCTGGTCTGAACCAGCCCAGGGGATTGACTGCCTCAAGGAAGGGTATGAAGAATGCTCACTGTACATAGCCCTACCATGTGGTCAGCAGGAATGGAGAACACTTCGCCCATGGCCTTAGCATGACCTGTAAGCTCAGGCATGGAGCCTGGGGAAAGAGGACATCCTGGGTTAGTCCCCCAAGACTCCTTGCTAGGCTCATGGAGCCTGGGGGAAGAGGACATCCTGGGTTAGTCCCCCAGGACTCCTTGCTAGGCTCCAACCCCCCGCTTGGGGTGATATCCAGGGTGTGCTCATGTTTTCAGTGTGTCTCCCTACATCTGAAAAAAATTGCTCTAAAATATTTTTTATGTGGTGTATATTCTATCATGAGACTTACTAAAAAGTAATCTCCCAATGAAACCACATAAAAGATCAACTACATAAGGGTAACTCATTTGTATTATTTAAGATTCCTTGTGCCGGGCTCGGTGGCTCAGCCTGTAATTCCACGCCTTTGGGAGGCTGAGGTGAGTGGATTGCCTGAGCCCACGGGTTCGAGACCCGCCAGGGCAGTGAGACCTCATCTCTACAATAAATCAACAGATCAGCCGGGCGTGGTAGCGCATCCCTGTAATTCTGGCTACTTGGAAGGCTGAGGTGGAAGGATCGCCGGAGCCTAGCAGGTCGAGGCTGCGGTGGCCGGGAGCGGCCACTGCACTCCAGTCTGGGCGACAGAGTGAGATTCCAACTCAGAAAAAAAAAAAAGATTCCTTGCATGCAAGTTACAGAAACCAACTCTAGCCAGTTTAGAAGAGGATGTTATTACGTGAATATGGGGGCGGGGGTGGAGGGTTCTTCCCCACCCCAGTCAGCTGGGTTTCAGGAAAGAAAAATGGATCTGGAACACTGGTAGCCTCTCTGGTTGGCATCTCTGCTTATCTTTCTTCAGAACAGCATTCTGTTTCTCAGATCCATATGATGGAATGTGGTGGCCCCACAGTTCCTGGGCTGACATGTTAATGTCCCCATCTAACGCCAACTTGCCCTTCCAGTCCCTGGTTCAAAAATCTCTGAAGAGAATCAAATTAGTCAGCTTGGGTCAGTTGTCCATTCTGGGTCCATTCAACTGGATACACAGGTGGAGTCAAGTAGTCATGGCTTCTGGAAGACCTCCTTATGGGCTGAAGGCAGGACTCAGAGAAGCAAGAATCATTGTGAAAACAAGGGAGACAGTCCAAATTAATAGACTTTCAAGTCTATTAGAATACATGAATGGCAGAGAGCTTCTGGACCAGTGGTTCCCTATGTGCAGGCCAAGGAGATAGAGAGGTCAACAAGACATATCTCTGAGTGTCCATAACTTTAATCACTATTAAAGGGGCCCTGAAATCTGCCCGCTAACAACCTTTAATTTGCACACACAATTTGGTAACTCATTTTATATAATACACACCATCCTACTACCATGACCTAAACTATCAAAACTACTTAGCAATTAGCAATTAACAAAAACAATTAACAAAAATAAAAACCAGAAATTTTGAATCTCAACTTTCATAATAAACAGCCATGAACCCAGCCCTAAGTACTTTGTACTTCATAAAACTTGATCATTTGAACAGATTAAATCAGAAGAAATAAAAACTGCCGAACTCAGAGAAAACTTAAAAAAAAATTATTCTTAGAGTTTGGAAATAATATTTCATTTCATATAGGTTGGTTGTTTAATTAAAAAATTTTTTTTTTGATTTTGTTATAAGGAGAAAATATGTAAAAGAGATGCTAGGATCTGAGTATAAGATGAAGTTTTATAGTAAAAGTTAATCTTGTATATCATTTTTGGAACCACTTTGAACCCTATTAAAATGCTACAGTTCTTTAATTGTTCTAAATTTTATAATGCCAGTTTTTCTATGTCTATTATATTTACATTATATGCATTGCATTTTTACTTTTTAGTTATACAAGTAATACATGCTGATTGGTAAAAAAAAATTGCAATTTGTAATTCAGATACAAGTATAATTTTTCATCCACTTCAGACTCTCCTCTTCAAAGGAGCTACTTTAACATTTTAGTATGTTTTCTTCTAAAAAGTTACATGAATTTTGGAGCAAAGATCTATGATATGATTCACAATTTTGAAAAAAATTTATCCATTACATTGTTAAATCTCAGCATAATTTTCAATTACTCAACAGGTTGTTACTTGAGTGTTGTTACTTGTTTATTTACTTTTCTGTAAGTAGATATAACTTTTCAAAAATGCAGTCAATTCCCCAACTTTTATGTCGTTCTTCAAAAACATCAACACTCTCAAGACAATGAATGTGTGTGCACAGTGAACCTGAAACAAGAAGAAAGGATAACAAGTTAAAACATTATGATGAAAGATATCAGGGGTTCTAAAAATATTTCAAATGATTTTAAAAACAATGTGTGCTTAAGATTTTTCTCTTATTATTATTATTATTTTTTGTAGAGACAAAGTCTCACTATGTTGCCCAGGCTGGTCGTGAACTCCTGGACTCAAGTAATCCTTTTGCCTCGGCCTCTCAAAATGTTGGGATTACAGGCATGAGCCACTGTGTCCAGCCTTTTATCTTCTTTTTTAATTAAGATGGGGGAAATGCTAAGGGCAAATTTTTGGAACTCTGAATTGTTATTATCACTTATAAGTCCTAAGAGCAAAAATGAACATATTGTTCTAAAAAAGTTCAAAAGTCTGGAACATAAAGCATGTAGCTAAAAAGACATTATTAAAGATTGGTTCCTTTTCTAGGTTAAAATAATTTTCAGTAAAATAGTCTCTACCTTTAAAATTTTATGTATATACTCTAGATACTAATAGTTCACAAATAGCTCAAAACTGTTAATTGTTGATGTTGAAAAATTTGCAGCCTAAGCCCATAACTTACCAAACAATCTTTGAATTTCAGCTTGTGAAACATAAAATGGTGGACCTAGATAAAAGAAATGTAGTGAAAAATAATTTTTATAAGTCTTCTAATTCTAAAGAGAAGTAAGGTCTCAGGGCCCATCTCTCAGCTGATTTCCAATGACCTATGTGCACTTATTTTACATGTAACTTAATTATCCAAATATGTGAGAATGTGGCGTGTTCCTCTAATTCTTCTTTTGCCAATCTCATACCAAAGAAAGTATTAATAAATCCTCTTACTGAGGGGATGGCAATGTTACGTATCCATCTCCAGCTTAGATCAAACAGCCAAGCTAGCCAAAGGAACTAAGGAACATTGAAATCAGAGTGGAGTCCATCAGTAAATAACTCTGGATTTTCTTTTTCTTTTTTTTTTTTTTGAGTTGGAGTCTCACTCTGTCACCCAGACTGGAGTGCAATGGCCGTTCCCGGATGCCGCAGCCTCGACCTGCTGGGCTCCAGTGATCCTTCCGCCTCAGCCTTCCAAGTAACTGGAACTACAGGCACGCGCTACCACGCCCAGCTAATTTTTTGATTTATTGTAGAGATGAGGTCTCACCAAGTTGCCCAGGCGGGTCTTGAACCCGCGGGCTCAGGCAATCCATTCACCTCAGCCTTCCAAGGCGCGGGATTATAGGCTAAGCCACCGAGCCCGGCTAACTCTGGATTTTCTTTCACCTTCTGTGCTATTGATTTTCTACTGTTCCTGTACTCATCCGCGTTCTACAGGTCCCTCCCACTCTGCTGTGGGATATAGACTTTTGGAATGTTAGCTTCTGCCCTTTTTGAGAGTAGTATTCTGGGCCTCCACATCCATACAGGACCTGTTGTGTTTTCTTCCCAAAAGCCCTTCTTTAGGCCTTCTGCTCATGAATGGAATTTAAATCAGATTAGCAGCGCTAACTTCTGCCTCTAGTAATTTGTATATATATATTTTTTTTAGTTGGCGTCTCACTCTGTTGCCCAGGCTGGAGTACAGTGGCACACTCACGGCCACTGCAGCCTCGACCTGCTGGGCTCAAGTGATCCTTCCACCTCAGTCTGCCAAGTAGCTGGAACCACAGGCTAATTTTTTTTGAAAGGTAATTCTAATCCCTGTCATAGAATTAAATCAGGAGACTAGGCAACTGGAAAAACAAACAAGCAAGCAAATAAAACTTTTACCTGGATGTTTAGTTGGATCATAAGAAACAACACACACGAAGTACTGAAATCCTTTTCTCAGTAGTGACAACATTATATCTCCATAGCTAAAAATAATACAAGAAGGTATTTGTTATTAATACATTCTTTACACAGGCAAAGGCTGGACTGGACAAGAGGCAGGAAAGGAAGCCAGCTTTTACTTTCGTCAACATTTCTGAGTTTAATCCTCCTAACAACCATGAGGGTGATTCTCATTTTAAAAGTGAGAATAGGGCTGGGCACAGTGGCTTGTGCATTGGTAACCGTGGCACTTTGAGAGGCCAAGGTAGGAGGATCACTTTGAAGCCAGGAGTTCCAGATTACCCTGGAAAACATAGCAAGGCTCCATCTCTCAAAACAAACAAACAAAAAGTAGCTAGGTGTGGTGGCATATACCCATATCCCAGCAACTTGGAATACTGACAGGGGAGGATCACTTGAGAACCATGAGTTCTAGACTGCAGTGAGCCATGATTGTGCTGATGTACTCCAGCTTGGGCAACAGAGCAAGACTGTGTCTCTAAAATAAATTAATAACAAATAAAAATGAGAAATGGGTTCAGCAAATTACATCCCCTGCTAAGCTGGGAAATGATCAAGATGGGAATCAAACCGAGGTCGGCTTCCAGAGCCAGTCAGACCAGAAGGCATCGTAGGAGGATAAGCAGAGGCTCCTTCCAGCCTAACGTGGTATTTGGGGGCCTGCTGATGACCTTGGACACATACAGCCTGAAGGACCACCATGTTCCCATGTGCTCGAGGGCAGTAGTCCCAAGACCAGGCTGTATATCGCATCACCTGGGTACTTGTTGAAAGAAAAGATGCTTGAGCTCAATCTCCCCAGGCTGATGCAGTAGGTTTGCTGTGAGGTCTGAGATGCTGCAATTTAACAAACATCCTGGGTGACTGGACCTCTCCAATGGCATATGTAAGAGGTACAAAACACAGTCCCTTTCCTCTATTTCATTGGTGAGAGACAAGACTAACAAGCAGGCCAAAATTAAAGTTGTACAAGTGTGGCATAAACCATATGTACTGCTGAAATAGGCCCACAAGTCCTTTGAGCACATGCCTTAGGGAGCAGGTGACACTATTTTCCAGGTAGGCCTGATTGGCTGAGAGTGGGGACCTGACCCTAAATGGGACCCATCGGTAGACTGACCAGGAGCCAGGGCTAGGCCCCGTACAGAACAATGAGTTGGAACAATCAGATGATTCTATACAGAGACCAGAGAGAAATTGCTAGTTAGCTGTGGTTGCTGTACTAAGAGTTGAAACTTTTGTGCTATTCAGTGGTTGGAGCAAGGAGGTTGAGGGTTGTGGACAAGTCAGCTACGTGGGAATAGAAATGGAGGAAGTAAGCCAGGCATGGTGGCTCACATCGGTAATCCCAGAACTTTGGGAGGCTGAGGTGAGAGGACTGCTTGAGCCCAGGGGTTCAAGATCAGCCTGGACAACTTGGCGAGACCTCATCTCTACAATAAATCAAAAAATTAGCTGGGGTGTGGTGGCATGTGCCTGTAGTTCCAGCTACTTGGAAGGCTGAGGCAGAAGGAATGCCTGAATTCAGCAGGTCGAGGCTGCAGTGGCCTGAACGTGCCACTGCACTCCAGCCTGGGCCAGAGTGAGGCTCTGACTTAAAAAAAAAAAAAAAAGAAATTGAGTAAGCAAAGGAAGCTGGGGGGTGTAACAGAACAGAGGAAAGAGACTGGCTGACTGAGATGAACAGACTTCCCTGCTCTGAGGAGCCTGGGCTCTTGGCTCTCCAGTTTCCAAAGAGCCTGGCTATATTGTGATTCCTGTCCACAGTTCTGTGAGAAGTTAGATAGGTGTGTGGATTAGGAGTATGGACTCTGTGAGAGATGTTTGAGCTCAAATTCCAGTTCCTCCACTGACTGGCTATATAAGCTTGGCAAACTCTTAACTCTTCATGTCTCAGTTTCTTCTCCTGTAAAATGGGGATAAGGCTAGTAATTTACCTTACATCATGTGAGAATTCAAGAGTGGATTGTTCTCCCTCACAAGCCAAAGAACCAGACCAAAGTAAACTTTTGAGCGAAACCTTTACTTCTTAACTTTCTGACTCTTATTCTTAGGAAGAGATAAGAAGAAACTTGGTATTCCTATGAAGGTGATCAGCCAGACTGGTTTTGGCAGGGTTTCTTGACTGACAGACTCCATTCCTCTTGAAATGTGGACTTTTTCTCTCAACCAGTCTCAAAAATTCAGAAAAATGAGAGAAATATGCTTCACTGATCTATGCTGGGCAGGAACTTGAGGGTCACAGCAAAAAATACATCAGTACTTGAGAATATGCAGTCTACACAGAAGATACCCAGTACTAAGGATGGTACTAAGATATTAAGTACTGCTATACAGATCAAGTAACTTATCTTTCTTTTTTTTTTTTAATTTAGTGTAGAGACAAGATCTCGCCAAGTTGCCCGGGCTAGTCTCGAACCCGTGGGCTCAGGCAATCCACTCACCTCGGCCTCCCGAAGTGCTGGGATGACAGGCTGAGCTCAGCTGTAAGGTATCTTTCTGTTGGTTCAAAGTTGTTTTGATAACAAAGGTCAACATGTCTTAGGTGTGCTTGGGGCTATGACCACACACATGGCTGGGGGGAGTGGGAAGAAGTAGAGTAGGAGAACTAGAGGAGATACAAAGCCTATGGCCAAGCTAGAACTAGATTCCTTAAATAAGAGTTCTAGAAGGCATCTGGCTTAGAGAAAAGTTCTCTCAAACTATGTTTCTCCTCTGCTGTCACATCACCACAACAACAATCACCAACACAGTTGACTTTTGTAACCAAATATATGGGCTTTTTCTCCCCTACACACCAAGCAACGGATGCCTGCTGGACAGCCTCCAACTCAATTCTCATGCTATCTGGAGATAGTCTAAGATCCCATGAGACTGCCTCCCCCATACCAGTCATAAGTCTGGGTCTCTGAAACTTCAAATTGGGGATCCCTCTTAGGTGAGATTAATTTGCTAGAGAGGCTCACAGAACTCAGGGAGACACTTACTTTTTTTTTTTTTTGAGTTGGAGTCTCACTCTGTCACTCAGACTGGAGCACAGTGGCCGCTCCCGGCCACCGCAGCCTCGACCTGCTGGGCTCTGGCGATCCTTCCGCCTCAGCCTTTCGAGTAGCCGGAATTACAGGTGCACGCTACCACGCCCAGCTAATTTTTTGATTTATTGTAGAGATGAGGTCTTGCCTGCCCAGGTGGGTCTCGAACCCGCGGGCTCAGGCAATCCACTCACCTCAGCCTCCCAAAGGTGTGGGATTACAGGCTGAGCCACCGAGCCCAGTGAAACACTTACTTTTACTGGCTTATTACAAAGGATAGAGATGAAATTATTATAAAAGATAGAATCCATAAGTCTGGGCCTCTGGAACTTCAAACTAGGGTTTCCATGACTCCTTCTTGGGTTTGATTAATTTGCTAGAGAGGCTCACAGAACTCAGGGAGACACTTACTTTTTTTTTTTTTTGAGTTGGAGTCTCACTCTGTCACTCAGACTGGAGCACAGTGGCCGCTCCCGGCCACCGCAGCCTCGACCTGCTGGGCTCTGGCGATCCTTCCGCCTCAGCCTTTCGAGTAGCCGGAATTACAGGTGCACGCTACCACGCCCAGCTAATTTTTTGATTTATTGTAGAGATGAGGTCTTGCCTGCCCAGGTGGGTCTCGAACCCGCGGGCTCAGGCAATCCACTCACCTCAGCCTCCCAAAGGTGTGGGATTACAGGCTGAGCCACCGAGCCCAGTGAAACACTTACTTTTACTGGCTTATTACAAAGGATAGAGATGAAATTATTATAAAAGATAGAATCCATAAGTCTGGGCCTCTGGAACTTCAAACTAGGGTTTCCATGACTCCTTCTTGGGTTTGATTAATTTGCTAGAGAGGCTCACAGAACTCAGGGAGACACTTACTTTTTTTTTTTTTTGAGTTGGAGTCTCACTCTGTCACTCAGACTGGAGCACAGTGGCCGCTCCCGGCCACCGCAGCCTCGACCTGCTGGGCTCTGGCGATCCTTCCGCCTCAGCCTTTCGAGTAGCCGGAATTACAGGTGCACGCTACCACGCCCAGCTAATTTTTTGATTTATTGTAGAGATGAGGTCTTGCCTGCCCAGGTGGGTCTCGAACCCGCGGGCTCAGGCAATCCACTCACCTCAGCCTCCCAAAGGTGTGGGATTACAGGCTGAGCCACCGAGCCCAGTGAAACACTTACTTTTACTGGCTTATTACAAAGGATAGAGATGAAATTATTATAAAAGATAGAATCCATAAGTCTGGGCCTCTGGAACTTCAAACTAGGGTTTCCATGACTCCTTCTTGGGTTTGATTAATTTGCTAGAGAGGCTCACAGAACTCAGGGAAACACTTATCTTTACTGGTGTATTAGAAAGGACAGAGATGAAAAGATGTATAGGGTGAGATAAGGGAAGGGGTGCTACCCTCCAGGAATCTCCATGTGTTCAGCTCTCCAGAAGCTCCCTGAACCCAGGCTTCTTGGGCTTTTATGGAAGCTTCATGGTGTCAGTATTCTACCATTTAGAGTATAGCACGGGACCCTCTCTGAAGAGTGTCTTAAGAGGCACAATCAAAAAGGTGGGGGGTGATTAGAGGCAAGTGAAACAAGAATCGAGAAAGAGATTCTGCTTTCTGAAGCCTGCTCCTGAGGCCCAAGGTGCCCCAACATCAGCAAAAGACTGCAACAATGGCTCTGGGAGTTATGAACTAGAAACTGTGGAAGAAAACCACGAGCTATAGCATACACCTCAGAGCCTCATCACTTCTTGTTAATCATGAATTAAACTGTTCAGAGTCTACTCAGAGGGCCTTTATATCTCAGGACAGATGAGGTGATACTGGTTGGAAGGAAACAGTCTACTCTCTTGCTCAGAGTTCAGTTTGCTTCCATTCATTTATTCAAAAAATATTTATTAAGCTCTTACTATGTGCTAAATATGTCAGACATTGGGGAAATAACTGAACACAACGAATATGGTCTGCATGCGCTTGGTGACCTCTAATTTACTGCTCACTGCTTTGTGGAAATTACCATGCAAACCAAAGTCCCAGGAGGAAACTACCTCAAAGGGAGGATGAACATATTTAGGAAGTGGAAAATACCTATAAATTTAGACATTCAGCAGATTGTTTAGTATTGAAATGTGTCTTATGGAGACAAAGTGGTCTCAGGAGATATTCTGAATTGATAAATAACACTGATGTCACATGGGAAATGCAAAGGAGACACTGGAAATGTGATTTGAATGTTTGGGAGAAAGAACAGAGTTGGAAATGTAAAAATTAGGATGACAAATACCATGTATAATCTGTTCAGTTATTTCTCCAACATCTGGCTCAGGGTTATATTTAGAGCATAGTAGGAAATTGATAAGTATTTATTGACTGATTGAAAGTAACTGGAGAATTGAAATGACCATTAAAGGAGAAAGCATAAGAGAGGAAAGCAAAAGGCTGAGGATGGCGGTTCCTCAGGGAATTATGACTTTTAGGCATGGGAGGAGGATTAAATTTCCAAAAAAGAGATAAAGGAGGAGTGGTGACACAGAGGGGGAAACAAAATAATAAACTGTCACCAAAGGAAAATACTTATTAAGAAGAATGGTACAGGTGCAGTGGCTCTCGCCTGTGATGCCGGCACTTTGGAAGGCTAAGGCGGGAAGAAGAGTGGTATGGTGCAATAAAAAAGATAAGTGATTTTTGAATTGAAAAGTATATAAGTATGGTCATGTTTCATCCAGTTTGCATTGCCACATCTTAATTTTACTTTGGTTTTTTTTTTTGAGTTGGAGTCTCACTCTGTCGTCCAGACTGGAGTGCAGTGGCCGCTCCCAGCCACGGTAGCCTCGACCTGCTGGGCTCAGGAGATCCTTCCGCCTCAGCCTTCCAAGTAGCTGGAACTACAAGTACGCACTACCACGTCTGGCTCATTTTTTTTTATTTATTGTAGAGATGAGGTCTCGCCAGGTTGCCCAGGTGGGCCTCGAACCCGCGGGCTCAGGTAATCCACTCACCTCAGTCTCCCCAAGCGAGGGATTACGGGTTGAGCCAACAAGCCCAGCTTTTAATTTTACTTTTTAACAAGACTGGGTATAATAAGAATGGTCACCAAAAACATAAGTAACAAATGCTCTAATAATAATAACATCTAACATTTATATAGTTCTTCCACCTCAGCCTTCCAAGTAGATGGAACTATAGGCTTGAGCCACCCCACACGGCTAATTTTTTTTGACGTATTGTAGAGACGAGGTCTCATCAAGTTGCCCAGGCTGGTCTCAAATCCTTGGGCTCAGGCAATCCTCTAGCCTTGGCCTCCCAAAGTGCTGGGGTTACAGGTTTGAGCCACCACACCTGGCCCTATATAGTACTTTAGAGTTGACAAGGCACTTTCCACATACTTTATTTCTTTCACTTCCTACAACTCTCTGATGTAGTCTAATGTAGGGATCATAAGCATGGACTTTGAAGCCCAATTTTCAACTTTCTGAATTTGAATCTCAACTCTGTCATGTATTAGCTGCCTAGCTTTGGACAAATCCACAGCTTCATCCTGCTGGGCTCAGGCAACCTTTCTGTCTCAGTGTTCCAAGTAGATGGAACTACAGGTGCATGCCACCATGCCTGGCTACTTTTTTGATTTATTGTAGAGATGAAGTTTCACCCTGTTGTCCAGGCTGATCTTGAACTGCTGGACTCAAGCAATCCTCTAGCCTTTGTCTCCCCAATGCTGGGATTACAGGTGTGAACCACCGTGCCTGGCCTAATCCACTATTTTGAACAATGCCTGGCACAGGGAAGAGTTCAATAAGTGTTACCGGGTAATAACAGTGGTAGTGGTGAACATGGTACTAGAGGAATATTACAATTTTTACTGAGGTTTAGAGAAGTTGAGTACTTTGGCTAAGGCCACACAGCTTAGAAGTAAAAGGACCACAAGCCCTAGGTCCCTGTAGCCAAACCCTAAACTTTTTAGATAAAGATGATATTGAATTCAGGTTTTTAAATTCCAAATACAATAAGGTATTTTTTTTTGAGTTGGAGTCTCACTCTGTTACCCAGGCTGGAGTGCAGTGGCACGCTCACAATCACCGCAGCCTTGCCCTGCTGGGCTCAGGCGATCCTTCCGCCTCAGCCTTCCAAATAGCCAGAATTACAGGTACGCATCACCATGCCTGGCTAATTTTCTGATTTATTGTAGAGATGAAGTCTCGCCAAGTTGCCCAGGCTGGTCTCGAACCCCTGGGCTCAGGCAATCCTCTCACTTCGGCCTCCCACAGTGTTGGGATAATAGGTGTGAGCCACCACGCCTAGCCTACAATTGGGCATTTCAAACTAGTAATTTTGTGGCGTCTAGAAAAAGTACAGCATACTAAACTAAGAAGACAAAAACAAAACCCAGCATAATCAAGGAAACCAAATTACTTACCGTTTGCGATCACCTGGATTAATAGCAACTATTGCACCTCTATCCCAAATTCTGTCAAATTTGCCAATATTTGTCCTACCAGAAATAAACAAACAAACAACTAAATAAAACATTTTACATAAGAAAAATCAAATATTTAACAAGATGAACATGGCTCCCCATGGCATGTGCTGGTATTCCCCTAGTTGTCTAGGAATTAGGATCTCATGTCTGCTTTTCTTCATAGAGTCCACAAGGATGTGTTGACCAGGGTGTGGGGAGCTGTCCATCTCCTCATGGTTTTAGGAGCCTGTGGCAGCAGCCTCCCCATTCTGTTATGACTTAGGAGCATGAAGGAAGTACAAAGGAGGATGTGTGACAACTCTGCTCCCAGCCCCTGGCTCAGGTATTAGGCACTTTCAGATGAGAGCTCATCTCCTTCGCACCTTGAAGTTTATTTCTGGTTACAGGCCTACATGCCAGGTAGAAGACACTGTCTTATTCTCTCTTCCTTTTCCCTACCTGCCTCAGGATGTAATAATGTTTTCCACAGTTTGAGAGCTATGCAATGACAAACATATTAAGTGTGCAGACATCTGGACTGCGTTAAAAACAATTGGTGAACAGAGACCCAAATCAGTGCTTTGTGGATGTTACACAAATGGATGGGAGTGATGAAAAGACACCCACCCCCACACCAGCACTGCCTAGCAAGCACTCAGGTTTTCAAAAAGTACAGATGTAGTATTCAGTCCTACCTGGGAAGATCAAAAATGTTGCAACAGTACAATGAAATGTTCCCCGAGGAGCTCTGTAATGAAACAATGAAAAAAAAAAAAGGGTTTTTTCTATTTGCCTAAGAGATATTTGAATGGTTAAGGAAAGAGGGCCCAAATAAAGCAAATGTGTTTCAGAAAGATTGCATATTAAACATAATTAAATAATTTCACTGCGCTTTACTGGCATCTTATTTTTGTTCTTTTTAAAGCCTGTGTGGGAGTCAGGCACAGTGGTTCACACCCGTAATCCTGCACTTTGGGAGGCCGAGGCAGTAGGATGACTTGAGTCTAGGAGTTCGAGACCAGCTTGGGCAACATGATAAGACCTCACTTCTACAAAAAAAATTAAAAAAACTAGCAGGATGTGGTGACATACGCCTGTAGTCCCAGCTACTCAGGAGGCTGAGGCAGAAGGATCACCTGAGCCCAGGAGGTTGAGGCTGTGGTGAGCTGTGACCATGCCACTGCATTACAGCCTGGGTAACAGAGTGAGACTCTGACTCAAAAAAATAAAAATAAAATAAAACCCCCAAAACCTCTGTGTAGCTGTAAAGACCAGTTAGCTATTATTTGTTTCAGAGTTTGTTAAAATTTTAGCAATGTTTCCTTGCGCAAAGTCCTGGTATTTTAATTCTGCTAAAGATAAATCTGCAGGTCAACTAATTACCAGGCAGACTGATGTAGAAAGCTCAGATATTTTAAGCGATTCAGGAAATGTAAAATTGTGCAGACTTCCCCATTTTCGCTCATTCATTCGGTGAATGAGCAGAGAGTCCTAGTAGACAGGACACCTATCCTGGCTTCCAGATGGCTGATGTGATTGACATAATCTCTGACTGCAGGGAGGGCAGCCTAAGGCATAGGCACAGAGAAACATTAGGATGCAGAATGGCCTGTTATGTCACGGATTTGTGCCGGAGGACTATGCAAACACAGAAGACAGAGCAGGTGACTGCCTGGAGTGTAGAGGAAGGTCAAACAAGAAGTGACTTGTGAAAGGGTGTCTCAATTCATCTGCTGATATTCCAGGAAGTATGCTGGGGATGCACTCTGGGGAGCAACAAGACAGGAACTTGAGAAGCCTGGGAGCTGCGGTGAAGGGCAGGGTAGAAGAGGTACGTCAGGACATGAGAATGCTGGCTTTTATTCTAAAATGAGGCATCTACATGGGGTTAGAAGAAGAGGAGGGAATATCTGTGGTGACCAGCCTGGGAATACTTTGGGGGTCAGACCAAGGAGGAGTGGGCATGGAGGCAGGAGAACAGCCAGTTCAACTTTGTCTGCAGATTGGAATCACTGGGGAACTTTAAACAGTAGTCCTGATGCCAAGCCCTCAGGCCTAGAGACTCTGATTTAATTGGCCTGGGGTGAGTCCTTCGCACTGAGAATTTTTATAAGATGCATTGTCCAACCAGGGCTGGGAACCACTGCTCCAAGAGGAGTCTGGTAACAGGACTAGCCTCTTTGAACTGAGTAAACGCCTTAGATTCTATAATGATTTGAGAACGGGGTGGAAGGAAGCTGTAAAATAGAGTACTATCAAGCTTCCTACTGATCTGAGTGATTAAGTTCAATATTTAGAAAAAGAATACTTTGGCTGGGCACGGTGGCACAAGCCTACACAATCCCAGTACTTTGGGAGGCTGAGGCGAGGGATTGCCTGAGCCCAGGGGCTTGAGACCAGCCTGGGCAACTTGTCGAGACTTCATCTCTACAATAAATCAAAAAATTTGCCGGGTGTGGTGGCACACACCTGTAGTTCCAGCTACTTGGAAGGCTGAGGTGGAAGTATTGATTGCCTGAGCCCAGCAGGTACAGGTTGTAGTGGCTGTGAGTGTGCAACTACACTCCAGCCTGGGCGACAGAGTGAGACTCTGACTCAAAAAAACAAAACAAAACAAAAAAAACCCCACAAAACTTTGTGAGAGACTGAATATACAGACAATGGCCAGAACCCAAATGACAACAGAACTCTGACTCATGACCTCTGCAGTAACCGACCTGTGAAGTCAAACTACAACCTCAGCAGCAGACTTGGCCAATGACTGCCAGCTTCTAATTTTTACCACCCCTGCCCTTTCCAATCCTGCCAGAGAAAAGGCAAATATGCTCCCCAAACCAATCACACAGGATGCCCCCTGATCCCAGTTCCCCAACCCAACCCTCCCTGTGCCGACAGCCTCTAATCAGAGCACACACGGAGCCTTCACTTTTGTCCACTGTTAAGTTTTTCCACTCCTCTGCCTGCTTTTGAGTCTCTGCCAGATATATGTGGTGGACTCCCTCTGAACAAACAGTCTTGTTTGTTCTCATTTGGGTGGTACTTGTTTGTTTCCACATTATGACTCCAAGTTGGTGAAGCAGTGCCACTGGATTATCCCAGTCATAGCACGAAGACAACTCCCCAAACTATCATACTCAGCCCAAACCCCACCCTGGGCTTCAGAGACATAAAGAAACTTCGTCATGCCACATCATGATGAGATGAGGTCTCTTAAGCTCATCATCTCCAGAACAACACTCATCTCCTCTTCCCCTCAACTTGCCTCTCCTTTATTCTCTATCATCCAACCAGTCATCTAAACTGGAAATAAAAACTCATCACCCTTTTGTTCCTCACTCAGTCACAAAATCCTGTGAGTTTGACACAGTAAACATTGCTTTAATTCATGCCATACTCTCTATATACCCTGTCACACTCGTCTGTCAGGCCTTCACTGCTTGGACCACTGCCTAAAGTCTCCTCTCTGGTCTCTCTGCTAGGAGGCGATCTCCCTTCAAATTATTTTCTGTCAGGCCATAAGGATGATTTATCAGTAGAAAATCTGGCCATGTCATGCTACTTAAAACCCTATTGTAGGATGAAGTGTTAGCTTTTTATGGCATCTGAGACTATGGACCTGAGCCCTGCCCATCTCCAACTTTGTCACTCTGCTGCAGGAAGCATCCCTGGCCTGGGCGTGGGGTAATTCTCCTGTCTTTTTCCTTAATATCCTATGTCCTTTTTTTGAGCTGGGGTCTCACTCTGTTGCCCAGGCTGGAAGTATGACCATGGTTCACCGTGGCCTCAACCTCTTGGGCTCAGGCAACCCCTCTGCCTCAGCCTCCCAAATAGCTGGAGCTACAGGTGTGTGCCACCATGCCCAGCTAATTTTTTATTTTTTGTAGAGACGAGGTTGCCTAAACTGGTCTTGACCTCCTGGGTTCCACATATTACAAAGAGCTGTCCCTATTTCTCTTCTCTCCTAAGTTAAGAGATTCTTTAGGGTGGGGACTGTGTTATCTTGTTTTTCCCCCCTTTAATTTTTTTTTATTTTATTTTAAAGATGTGGGGTACAATTCAGGGTTAGGTATACAAATATTCATTATGCAGGTACCTTTGTTGATGAGGTGTGCCCGCCCCTTTCTCAGGCAGATTCCCACTATCTGTCTGTATCTCTCTATTTAGCTAACTACTGTCTATCAATTATATTTTTAAGCTCTTGTTCCTTATGCTATATGCCTAGGAAACTGGTGCAATAAAGAGGAATGGTGTGATACTTGTATAGCATCCTCATTTACTCGTGATGAGAAAAATCTTTTTTTTTTTCCCCATGGGTATGGAAACAATTATCTACCCAAACCAAAACAAACCTTAAAGACTTTGGTTCCTGGAATTTCAGGGATTGGTTCTTCTGAATAAGAAAGATTCTGCTCTGCAAAAAATTCTCGTATCCCAAGTTCACTGATTTCCACACCAACTACACTGTGTCCCCAGTCTGCAAACCTGTATAAAAAATACATTTGTACTTAAATTTTTTTTTCAAATCCAATATGAAGTAATGGAAGATATCCCTAACAAATATACATTTTCCTTAATTTTAAGGGATTTATAGGAATTCAGGTTTATAGGAATTCAGGTTCACAGGGATTCATAGACCACGTAGGAAATCAGATCTATATATTTTAAAATCTTATGTCATATTGAATTCTGTAAAGTTAATTTTATGACCTTAGGAAACAATAAAACATTTGGAAAACTGTATCTTAAAACATTCATTTACTGTAAGTAGACCTGAATAGAGGGAATGCTTTTCAGTTTTCTTTCACCAGTAATGTCCGTTAAATTTTCTGCAATGATGAAAATGTCTATATGCGTGCTAACACAACAGTCATTAACCATGTTGGTTACCGAGCCCTTGAAATATGGCTAATCAGACCGAGGAATTAAATGTTAAATTTTACTTAGTTTAAGTTTAAACAGCCACATGTGGCTAATAGCTACTGTATTAGAGTACGCAGCTCTAGAACATTAGAATTGTTTCTGTAGTAATCTTGTAATGTCTATTGGCTTACAATAAACACTGTCCAAACATTTATTTTATCACCATATGCAAATAACCAGTATTTTCCTGGTAAGTTTTATAATTACAGAATTCACAGTCTTGGGATCCTGTACTCAAAAGAAAACAGTACTAAGGCCACAAATAATAATGGCCCAAGCTAAAGTCAAATTATTTAAACATATAGTTCTGCTTTAATGCAACATATGCTTTTCTAAAAAGCACTGCTCTGTGCAAAATTATGCAGTAACAATCACCAGGCTGATGAGGAAAGCGGGGGCTAGGCACAATATTAAAAAAACGTGTCAGTGCCACTGTTATAAATAATTGTGAAGTGACTAAAGAAGGGCTTTTAGAAATCAAATGGAAAGTTCTAACACTAGCTGCAGATAGCAGACGTTCATAGCATCTGTGGTAAACTGAGGCAGCTGGAAGACGTTTGAAGTATGTGCATGTGTACATGATGTCTATTAATTTTTTTTTTTGAGTAGGAGTCTCACTCTGTTGCCCAGGCTGGAGGGCAGTGCCATGCTGATGGTCACCACAGCCTCCACCTTCTGGGCTCTGAGGATCCTTTTGTCTCAGCCTCCCATGTAGCTGGAATTACAGACACGTACCACCACGCCTGACTAATTTTTTGATTTCCTGTAGAGACGAGGTCTCATCAAGTTGCCCAGGCTGGTCTCAAACCCCTGGACCTAGGCGATCCTCTTGGCTCCATCTCCCAAGGTGCTGGGATTACAAACATGAGCCACTATGCAGGGCGATGTCTATTCAAAACAACTTAGTTCAGCTGGGCATCATTTTCTGCTTTTATCTAAAGCTTCTTGCAGATGAAATCACACAAAAGCACGTGTGAAATTCATTTCATGCTCATATTGTTCCCTAATACATTAATAGAGCAAAAAATAAAATTCAAAGCAAGAGGTATGGCAAGACTAACTGTATCTATTACATACATAAGAGTATCAACTTTCAATGTGGGCAGAGCATTAACTGTTTAAAGCTCTGAAATGAAACATATTAATAACTGTCTTTTTTATTTCCTAGGACATTTATAAGGCAGCATATAAGGACTTTTAAAATTTTTCCATACATTTTATTCTCACATACATTTTTTTACGTTATAAAATATGAGCAAAAAAGTTATTCAAATTGGTTGCAAGTGTTTATATTTACCATTCAACAAATGGAAGGAGGAAGCATAGCCTATTATAGCCTGGAATGAAAACAAAACAAAACACAAAAACTAAGTATCTTAAGCATTTCATTTTAATGCTTTTTTGGCCTTAGCTCATGGTCAGTTGATCTATTCATATCTGATGTCTGTACAAACCTCAATATATAGATAAGGTACATAAATTTAAAAAATGCTCTAATATAATAACTCACATGCAATTGTAGTAGCTCAGTTGTGATATTTTTATTACAAGTAGATTGAGACCCAAAATATTCAACAATCACATGTAACTAACTGACTAGTTCATCATACCATTTTCCAAATGTTGCCTCAAAACCTCTGTTAGAGCTACACTGTTACTATCTGTGACAGTACCTTAAGACAATGTTTAGAGCTAATGTTTTTCTTGTAGTCCATCTCAAAGTAACTTTCTCTTCCAGTTCTTGAGTTGGTAAGAATATAGGTCTAATAATGTAGTTTAAATGTTCTCAATTTTATGAGTATACTTGGGTCTTAAGCCATAGCAGCCATTTAGCAAACATTCTAAGCTACCAGTTGAGAGAGTGTGGTCTGGTTGCAAAAATTCCATCATCTTGACTTGAAAATCAACTCCAAATGCATGCATGATCTGTGGGTCAGTCACTAATCTTTATAAGGGATCAGAGCACCTTTAAGTTACTGTATTTTTCATTTACAAACGTTTTCATACATAGTTTTTTTCTTTCCTGCTCAATGATCAAAGTTTTCAACATTCAACCTTATAAATGAAAGTATGTCTTGGCAGGTATGTTTGTGTCTGTGTCATTATAAGAGAGTTCTACATAGAGAATGATTTTTGGGGTTTGCGACTTTAGATTAACTCATAGTAAAAGTAGCTTGTTACTTAAAGTAAATTCTCTTCACAGAGAAGTACTTAGAAGGAAGACTTTCTTCATTCTGGTTTTATAACAATGATTCATGATAACAGAAACTCCTAAGTACTCCCGGGGGAAGAGGAGAGTTGAACTGAACTGTGGACTATGAACCTTGTACTGCTGAAAAGCTGTAATTCATTTGGAATTCTTCTGTCCACCACCATTTCACATATCTAAATTAACCTAGCGAAATTCCTAAACTATCTACAAAAACTGAACCACACACCAAGATTCAGGAAATATAAAAGGAAAGACTGGTTTTCCTCCCCCATTGGTTCCAAACCAATTCTTTTTCTTCAAAATTAATACTGAAAGACTAGGTCACACCTACTCCTGCTGCATTTGTCACTATTTGAGACTATCACCTTCGATTATGTACCCATCACTACTAGTTTACTAAAAATAAAAAATCCCTGTGTATTTCCTGAGAATGGAATTGTTAAACCCACATCCTGTTAAATCACCCAAAAAATTCAACAAGACAAAAGAGTGTTAATGTTTATCTGCTCTTACCATTTCATCTCAACTGCTTTTCCACAAAGGGGAAAAAATATTCTCAGTCCTCTCTCGCCTTTGAGAAAAGTATCCAAATGCTTTTTTAATAGCCTGGGGAGGAAAAAAAAAAAAAAAGTCCAATGCACAGAGGAAAGGGGAAAGGACAATTTTATGATACTAAGTATTTTTCATGCATTATCTCATTTAATTTTCCGAACAACCTTAATAAGTAGGTTACATTATTATAATCTCCAGTTTACATATGAAGAAACAAGAAGGTTGGGTAACTTACTCAGACACACAGCTAGTTAGTGGTAAACCTGGCTTATTCCTAGGGTTTTCCTGATTAGTAATTAAAAATAAGATTTCAAATTTTATTTTGGGAGGGTAGATGGGGTGAGGGAGTCCCTGGACATATGGGTTTTCAACATTAATTTCATTGTAAATTCTCTAACTATGTACTCAGGTTTCAGAATTAAATTTGAAAATTGTAACTCTTGTAGTCAATTTCCAGTGTGGAGATGTGGCTCTTCTAGGGTCATTTTCTAAGGTCAAGACAGAGATAACCCATATAATGTTTCTGAGATTAAGCCTCAACTACCACTTGGTGTGCAAAAGTGATGACGATGACAATAGAATGACATCATTTCCTGGGAAGTTGAAGTGGCTGCCTTGAACAGGGAATATTGATCACAACCACTTTACTCAGCACTGGCCCTGTGATTCACTGCTGCTGCTATAGAGACTACTACAACTACCACATTGCTCAACATCTTAGCTCACTTATTAATTTCTCTCAACTTCTTTTCCATACAGATAATACTTTACTTTCTGAACATGTGCTGTTGGAAAGCAAAATCAGAATATCTCCAGTGTTCAGTATAAAGAACTGCAAGAATAAATGTTGCTCGAGCATGTGCAGAATGTAGAAATATGCATGACAAATACACAGATGATGAAGGGGAATTAAATCTAAGATGCTGTCAATTGTAAGTCACACCATTATTTATGCACTCTGGGAAGAAAAGACACTGCCAATTAAACTTTGACATGCCATAGATGCATTGGTGATTTCAGAGATACTAAAATGTAAAAAAATAAAATGCATATCTTAAAATCAGTCAAATAATGTGTACCTATATCATTATTTCTATCTCAAAGTCAGTTTCTGCTAGAGCATTTCTCTATTAGATATCAAACATTACTCACTGATGTCCTTGTTCTTGATGAAATCCAATATTGCGGTTCACCCACTTGTCTTGCCATTGTTCCAGAGTTAGTATTTGGGTTTTTTGTACCTCAGTATCAGGGTACTCTTTAATATCAAGTAAAGTATTATCCATAGTTGCATAAACACTCTTGTCTCACAAGTGTACTGCCTAAATGGAAAATATTTGTAATGCTGTCATTTAAGGTTATTGCAATTCTATTGAATGAAAATCTATTATTCTTAGCAGTTTGACTTTTAAAAAATATCTTAGCATCCAATGAAAAGCCATACAAAAAATTATTTTCAGTGAGACTGATTATTACACACTAGGAAAGATCTTTAAATAAATTATATCTTAATATTAATGTTTAGGAATATTTAACAAAAAAATTAGCCTGGTGTGGTGGCCCATTACTCAGGAGGCTGAGGTGGACGGATTACCTGAGCCTAGGAGGTTGAGTCTGTGGTGAGTCATGATTGTGCTACTGTGTTCCAGCCTGGGCAACAGAGTGAGGCCTTGGCTCAAAAATAATAGTAATAGATTAAATAAAAATGCAGTGTTTCGGGATAAACTCAAACCATTTTCCCTCTGCACTCACCACAACAATCATCAACACAGAAGATTTCTATGACCAAATATGGGTTCCCCTCCCCACTATGTACCAAGCAGCTGACATCTGCTGGGTGTCCTCTGATTCAACTTCACCACTATCTACCTGGAGATAGTGACAGATCGCTTAAGTTGAGAGCTTAGTTAAGGTGGCACCCTCCCCCTCTAGACAACAGCTACAAGTCTGGGCCTCTGGAACTTTTGACTGACCAGATTCAAGTTGGAGTTCTCATGAGTTTCACTTTGGGTTCAATTAATTTGCTGGAGTGGCTCATATAACTGAGGGAATCACTTATTTATGTTTACCGATTTATTATAAAAGGTATTACAAAGGATATAGATGAAGAGATGCATGGCTAGGTATGGGGGAAGGGGTGTGTCACCCTCCAAAACCTCCATGTGTTCAGCTATCTGGAATCTCTCTGAACTTGTCCTCTGGGGTTTTTATGGACACTTCATTACCTAGGCATGATTGATTGATCTGATGATCAACTTGACCTTCCATCCCTCTCCTTTCCCTGATGGGGAGTGGGGCTGAAAGTATGAACTCTCTAACCTGCCTTTGTCTTTCCAGTGATTAGTCCCACCCTGAAGCTATTAGTCAATATTAGCATACAAAAAGATAGCACTTTGGAGATAGAAAAGAATTTAGGAGTTGTGCGGTCTTTCAGATTAGAAAATTTCCTCAAACACCTAGTAATTCTTATTATCTGTTCATGTGGTGGCTCATGTCTGTAATCCTACCCCTTTGGGAGGCCGAGGTGGGAGGATTTCTTTAGACCAGGAGACCAGCCTGGGTAACATAGCGAGACCCTCATCTTTATAGCATAAAAATAAAAGAATAGGCACCAAAATGCTGATTAAAGAATAAGAACGTGGGTGGGGCTTATTGCCTGTAAATGTCACTATCGTATGATGTGAGTGAATTTCATTCGAAACTTAGATGGCATTATCTTTATTTTCTTTGGGCAGATCAGCAGCCTTTCTGTAGATGGATCTTCCAATTCCTGTCTCAGGAATTAAGTCCTTGGGGCCACTGTTCTACACACACATGAGAAAAGGATAGAAGTAAGGAAGGGTTACAGCATTCAGTCTGCCGATGTTCAATCAATCCTCATATTTTCAGTATAATACTCCCATCCTTAACTGCACATTTTATCTTCCTAGTCCAGAGACGCTGTTTTATTTTTTCCAAAGAATAAACACCCAAAGCCTGCTGGTATGATGGGTGAGACATGTGGTTGCAAAATAACTGAGAAAGGGATCTGGGGATTCAGTCTTTTCTGAACCAGAATTTCAAGCAATCCTCCTAGTTTCAACCACACCTTTGCACTTCCTGGAGGTACTTGGTGTTGCTAATCCTGAGTATTTGAGGATTCTATAATGCAAAGTGGGCTGCTCATTGACTTTTCTTTGTTGACTTCGAATTCAGTTTTCTTGAATTCGCACCACTTGTCCATCTTCTATCTAGCATTCAAAATTTTTATTAATTTTCTCTTCTCTCCTGTCTTCTCCATCCTTTAAAAAATCCTATTATTATTGTCAGGAGGGAGCAAAAGTAGATACAGGGTTCAATATATTATCTCTACTCCACAAGTTTGTGTTTTTAAATAATTTTTAAAGCTTCTTTTTTGCAAGGGAAAATGCACACAAAGGAAAATGAGAAAAAAGATACATAAACATAACTGTAGATCCATCCGAATGTAGGAGGAAAATGCCCTTTCAATGTCAAGTTTGCCATAGTAAAGACAACGTAACACCAGAGTTCTAACATTCCCTTTAAATCATTAGTGACTTAGATTACACTAGCATACTATCATTGGAGGGTCTAGTTAAGAATTTCTTCATGAAAGAGCAAACATTACATACAAGCACATATTTCAGGAAAAGTTACCCTTTGTTCCAAAATTTGGTCTCACTATGCTTAGAATTTAGATAGAAGGCATTTTTCTCATTACACTGAACATAAATTCACTTCTCAGCAAGCATATGTTAACAAATAGCTTTTGGAAAACCCTGATGATGTCAGGAGGTGACAGTTTCCCAAGTGGTCAGTGGAAAGTATCTGATTATATTGGGTATACAAAAACAAAAGAGAGTTGCAGTTTTCCCACCTCCATTTTCAGTCAGAAACTTTGGAACTGAAACTTGAGACTTCATAAAGCAGTTCTCTACTTAAAATAAAAGGAAAACACAATTTTTCATATAGAGTGCAATCTGGAATTGCACAAATCTACTCCTATCATATAAACTTGAACTAACCGTATAACAATGTCATGAATATAAACAACTTCTCAACGTGTACTCCACTATCCACACCGTTTTTAGAGAAATAAATTTTCTTTCTATAAAACAATCAGGCCGGGTCTGGTGGCTCAGCCTGTAATCCCAGCACTTTGGGAGGCCAAGGCAAGAGGATTGCCTGAACCCGCAGGTTCGAGACCAGCCTGGGCAACTTTGTGAGACCTCGTCTCTACAATAAATCACACACAACAAGACTAGCTGGACATGGTGGTGTGCGTTTGCAGTTCCAGCTACTTGGAAGGCTGAGGAGGAAGGATCACCTAAGTACAGCAGGTGGAGGCCGTGAGCGTGCTGCTGCACTCCAACCTGGGTGACAAGAGTGAGACTCCAACTCAAAAAAAAGAGACAATTATAGATAATGCACACTAGAAGAAATAAGGAAGGAAATTTTCACAAAAATTCCTCATCATAAACTGAAAGTGTAGATGTGCTAGTTTGGCGGCCTACATCCTCAGGTTCTAGTCTCCTTTCTCGACTTTTCAAAACAAAATGTTCTCTATTTTTTTTTTTTTTTTTTTGAGTCGGAGTCTCACTCTGTTGCCCAGACTGGAATGCAGTGGCATGACCAGGCTACCGCAGGCCTAGACCTACTGGGTTCAGGTGATCCTTCCATCTCAGTCTTCCAAGTAGCTGAAACTGCAGGTGCGCGTCACCATGCCCAGCTAATTTTTTAATTTATTGTACAAACAAGGCCCAGTCACCAAGTTGCCCAGGCTGGTCTCAAACCCCTGGGATCAGGCAGTCCTCTCGTTTCCCAAAATGCTGGGATTACAGGCGTGAACCATCGCGCCTGGCCTCTAATTTTATTTTTAAATTTCGTTAAATTGAAGAGTAACTTCCATAAGGTGCACAAATCTTAAGAGTCTGGCTCAGTGAATTTTTTATATTTGCATACAGAGTGAGAGCAAGACATACAATATTTACAGCACCCCAGTTTCTCACATCCCCAGAGCAACACTCACTATTTGGCAGTACTTCTAGAAAAAAAGAAATCACTAATACGAAACAATACTTTAGGGGGCAGTTTTAAATTATGGACTCAGAAAGGTCATTTATTGCCGGATCTCGTTATCAAGTCTTCACTTCAGTTTCCTGAACCCCATGTCAGAACGCGGACTGCTGGGCTGTCCATGCTTGTTAGGAACCTCCATTTCCGGCATTCCATTTCCCCCCCCGCACCCACTCTTTGCCCCGGGGAGCCTACCTCACTCGCAGCGAGTCGTCTACCACTGCCTCTGGCAGCGCCCTCGTCCCGGGGTACTAGAACCCTCAGGTCTCCGCCTCCTCCCGGC